CAGAACGAAGCACGGCCCAGTCCTAAGCTAACCTCACTACTGTTGCCATGCGTGAGCCCACTGATGCTGTCACTTTGCCAATCCATCTCACTGACCCCAGCTATACAGGGTTACTATTAATTGAAACCGACTCTCTAGCACTTAACAATTATACTACATCAGCTATCAAAATGATTAGATTAGTGGATGAATAAATTAATATGTGATAGTGAGTTCCACAGGGATGACAGACCTTATCTTGTTCATTTTTGAACCCTGACCTAGTACAAGATAATGTACAGTATATGTATTTGTTAAGTCCCTGATTTCCCTGTTCCATATATCAGCTTTTGCCCTATAATTCTGCTTTTGCAGGGAAAAATCTCTAGGTCATTGGAAAAGACTGTGAAAGCTCTACTTACTTCTACTCCAATTCTGAACAGGGTTCACATTCTTCCCTAGGCACCTTAGTACTTATAACATTCCCAACTATTTTTTTTTTTAATTTTTTTATAGATTCATTGACAGAAAACTTCCCTATTACACACATACCTCATTTTATTGCACTTCACTTTATTGTACTCTGCAGATGTTACTTTTTTTTACATATTGAAAATGTGTGGCAAGTCTGCATGGAGCATATCTATCAGGACCATTTTTCTAATAACATGTTCTCACTTCCTACTTCTGTCACATTTCAAACTTCTTTATGATGTTATTGCACACTTAATAGACTATAACTTCATGTAAAAATAACTTTTTAAAAAAAATGTTTTATTGTGAATAATGTGATACTTTACATGAGAGAACAATAGTTTTGCATTCATCCTATTGCATATCGTTTATTGCCATGGTTACAATCCCCTCCATGCATCATCAACCAACCAAAGGGTACTTCCTACAAATCTGCCCCCTCCGCCACCTCCCCCCCCCCCAGGTCATCAGCATACAGCCCCTCTCCCTCTCTGGGTCTAGAGTCCCCAACTGCTCCATCTCTCCACATCATCGTCTGTGACTCCATCACAGGGATCACTGCTTTTCTGAATAGGATCCTGCTCTCCGCTCTTCACCCTTCATGATCCCAGAGGCCTCCACTCCTAGACTGCAAAGTTAATCACTCGACTCCTTGCCACAAAATGTCCACCGTTACACTTACAACCTTCCCAATCAGTCCTGATAACAATTATTCACCATTGTGTCCGCAAGAGACCTATCCGCATCTCCTTTCATCAGTCTCGCCTAGACAGATTGGATACTACTCAGTGGAGAGTCTACCTACCTCCATGCTCTCTGGATCTAGGTTCCCTCTTGAAAGCTTGTAAGCCAGTCACTTCTTGCCTTTGTATCCCCCCCATTTTGGATAGCCAATGTCCAAGTTGCCCATCCTGTCTACTCTGTGTATGAAGGGGGTGGGAATGATCTTGCTGTAAAGATTTGTTCCCTCTTTTGAGCTATTGCATACATAGGTATAGGTCAAGTTCATCAAATTGTATCAGATTACTCTTTTTTCCCTCTTCATTCTCCTTCTAGTTGTGCTCTGATCATCCCATCATTGAAGCCAGGTCAAGTGGGTATTATCTGCAAGTGTGGGTGTTCTTGTGCATATGCCCTCTCTTCTTATCCGCTGGATGCTTCACTCTCTACTCTAGTCCTCTGTGACTATGTCACTGACTCTGGGCCCAAGAGTCCCCAGGTCTTGCCACACTGCTGGCCAACCAGGTCTCCACCTGGGTTTACCAGAGTCTATTGACCGTTGTAAGGCTTGGCTCGCAGCTTTATTGCTGTTTTTCCCTCACTTCCTGTTATAGGTAACAAACGTGGTCACCAATCCGAGTGTGTATTCCCATTGAGTCTTAGTCTTGGAAGGGGGTTTACTCTGAGGGACCTGACCCCTTGCCTTGATGTCTCATGGGCAAGCAACTTGCTTGTTCTTGTAGTAATCAGTCGGTCTGCCTCTACTGTTTTGTATACATTCCCAATTATTTTGTCACAGTTAAAGTTAGGAGACTGGCCTACCCACATACCTGAAGGGATATTTATGAGATTTGTCATTAACTACCTACACGGTCAAAGAGCTCTGGTAGCATAGTGGTAACAAGACGGGCTGCTAACCTCAAGGTCAGCAGTTTGAGACCACCAGGTATTCCATGAGAGAAAATGAGGCTTTCTGCACCCATAGATTTTAAAGCCTTGGAAATCCTAAATAGGTTCACTATGAGTCAGAACTGACTCCATGGCACACCACCACCACCTACACAGTGAAGTTAGATTAGATCCTAATACTTTTGTCAACAGTGGTGGCTTTACAATGTGTCAACTTCAATATAGGATAGACTGTCCTCTTAAAAGGGAGAGAGGGTCTTTTTATACATACATCACAATGGTTGTATAATTTTACTGCTTCCTTATATAGCTAACTACATAGGTTAGAGTCAGGTTCAAGTCATGGCAAACTCATGTACAAGGAAATGAACTCTTCATGACTATTGGTGTGCAGAAGTTCAATATTGTGGCCACTGACCCACCTTCACCCTAAAGGCTCATCTTCCAGCACTGTATCTGAAAAGGTTTAAAAATCGGGCTTTCACTGCCTAATTTCCAGAAGCAGATTGCTAGACCTTTCTTTCAGTCTGTTTCAGTTGGAAATGTCCTCTAAGGTCTACCATGAGTGACCCTGCTGGTATTTGAAACATCAGTGGTCGAGTTTTCAGCTTGGAAGGAAGCCATAAGAGCATGACAAACTGACAGGGGTAGAGTCAGTGAGTAGTTACTATTATAATATCATATTTATTATAAGAATACAATTTTGAGTGATTATCTGCCCCAGGCTCTGCTCTGGACCCTATTTATTATGGGAGACAAGCATGCGCACATCACTATAAGACGTAATGATGAGGTCATTTAGTGAATATTTGATTTTGACATCAATTTATAGATTTAGAAAAATAAATTACCTCCTCCATTTCTTGATTTCTCTCTTGTGTGTTTTTTTTTTTTTTTTTTTTACATTTTCATTTCTACAATGATGCTTTGAATTGTACACAGGAGGCTAAATACTTGTGCTTGCAGGAAGATTAGCAGTTTAATCCACCCAAAGGCATCTCAGAAAGTAGCCCTAGCTATCTGCTTGCTAAAGCTCAGAGCTTTGAAAATCCTATGCAGCAATTCTACTAGGCACACTGAGTCTGAATCTGTCCTGGCAACCAACAATATTTGAGAATAATTTATTAGTACATTGTCCCTTGCTTTGCTCTAACCAGCTCACTACATTGAAGGGAACATGTAGGATTCAAGATTTATGATCTTTGTGTAGAACATTTATTGATGAAAATCAAAGAGCACAGCCTTCGGTATGGATTATATCTCAATGTAAAGAAAACAAAAATCCTCATCACTGGACCAATAAACAACATTCTTATCAGTGGAGAAAAGATTGAAGTTGTCAAGGACTTCATTCTTCTTGAATCAGCTATCAACACTCATGGAAGCAGTAGTCAAGAAATCAAACAACGTATTGCATTAGGAAAATCTGCTGCACAAGACCTTTTTACAGTGTTGAAGAGCAAAGATGTCAGCTTGAGGACTAAGGTGCACCTGACCCAAGCCATGGTGTTTTCAATAACCTCATATGCAAGTGAAAGCTGGACAGTGAATAAGGAAGACCATAGAAGAATTGATGCTTTTGAGTTATGGTGTTGGAGAATATTGAAAGTGCCATGGGCTGCCAAAAGAACCAACAAACCCATTTTGGAAGAAGTATAGCCAGAGTGCTCCTTGGAGGCCACGATGGCCAAACTTCGCCTCTCATACTTCGGACATATGGTCAGGGGGAACCAATCACTGGAGAAGGATATCATGTTTGGTAAGGTGGAGGGTCAGAGAAAGAGGAAGACCTCCAACAAGATGGACTGGCAAAGTGGCAGCATCGATGGATTCAAGCGTGGCAATAGTAGTGAGGTTGGCCCAGGATCAGGCAGTGTTTCGTTCTGCTGTGCATAAGGTTGCTATGGATCGGTACCCACTCAATGGCACCTAACAACAAATAGGAGTCCTGGTGGGTGCTGTGGGTTAACGCGCTGGACTACAAAGTCGGTTTGGGCCACAAGGTCGGCAGTGCAAGCTCACCAGATGCTCCTTCATAGTAGTAGTGTGCCATGGAGTTGGTGCTGACTCATAGCGACCCTGTATAGGGTTTCCGTGGTTATAAATCTTTATGTGAGCAGAAAGCCTCATCTTTCTCCTGTGGAACTGCTGGTAATTTAGAACTGCTGACCTTGAGGTTAGCAGCCCGACTGTAATCACTATGCTACCAGAGCTTCTTGGAAACTCTATATAAGGTCACTATGTGTCGGAACCAACTCTATGGCACTTAATAATAGGATGTACACTGGACTGCAATGTTGGTTTGAACTACAAGGTTGGTAAATCAAATCCACCAGCCACTCCTCGGAAGCTCTTTACAGGATCGTTATGAGTTGGAATTGACTCGACAGCACTAAACAACAACAGTAATCCTTGCACATATAGTTATTGTGTAATAATTGGTGCCATACTCCTGTTGTGGCACTGTAGGATAAGCATTGGATTGAGAACCACAAGACCAGCAGTTCAAATTCACCAGCTGCTCCTCGTAAACCCTATACAGGGTAGCAATGAGTCAGAACCTACTCCACCGACACTTAACAACAACAACATCCTTGTAGACAGAGTAATTGTGGCTCACAGATCTGTCAAATTGCCCCAGGGGGAACTCTCCTGCTTATTGAAGAGGCGGTGCAGTACAATGGCAACGCAGCCATGTGACCACAACCAATTTCCTCTGTCCAGTGTGACGACTCCCAGCGGCAGGGGGCGCTGGAGAGCAACCGGGTCAGCCCCCCAGGCACCGCCTAGCAGGAGCTAGACCGTATCCGACGCCATGCGCGCACTGTTGTCGTTCCTGCGCATAGGTTGGGGTTGGCCTGCAGGCTCCTACCCTACAGCTCTCCGGCTGCAGGGATTGTGCTCAAATCCAAGGCCGCAGCGTGGCATGTCTCTGTACTGCACAGAAGAGCGCGGCCAGCCCCACTCGCCCGATTACCGCCTCTTCTTCAGTAAGTAGTTCCTGGACATACTGCCACGCCTGGCCGGACACTGCACCTCCGGGTGGGACCAGACCATTCCCTTGCGGCCTCCATCCTCCCTCCCGTGTTCTTCGCCTTGGTCACCTCTTCCTGCCGCAGTGCCTCACGCTGATCCATTCCGGAACTTCCTGCTGGCGGGGAAGACTATTACCCCAAACGTGTATTGCAGAGAGGTAGAGCAGCGTACTGCCGAGGTGCAGTCCGCCTCTACCTCTGCCGGGTCAACTGCCCTCCGCGAGCCGCCTAACGTGCGGTGGACCCGCCCCAGTCTCGCAGGCTTTAGCGTAGCTCGGGCTGCCGATTTGCGTGCAGTTATTAAAGGGGAGGCACAGAATCTGGAAAACTGAGGGCTTCCTCCTACTGGTAGAAAATAGCAGAACTTTGCAAATTCCTAGTTTAGCGGTTCTTTATCTTTTCTGGGACTGCGATGAAGGTTGTTTTTCCCAAAAGCATGTTTCTGTACTCACAAGTTTGCACTATGTATGAGATACTTGCGCTAGTGGTGCCACCCGCTCCACCCCGGTATGTACAAACCCAGAGGGCAAACTTCCTTCTGGGGCGTGGAGCTGGCTGATTGGGATGGCAAAGAACCCAGGTCTTACTTTCATTTCTTGCTTCACTGTGTAGATGAGGTGTAAAGTGAGAAAAGCGAGGTCATTTGAACTGCCTTCGTGCCTCATTTAGACCCTGGAATAGTAGTGTGGTCTGTCTGAAAGGTGTGTCTTATGTTGTCCCACCTGCTAAAGAGCACTTACTGCTTTGGAACCTTTCAGATCTACAGTTTTTCATCTTTTAGTTGTATCACCCGGCACGTTTCTTAATTGGAAAAGCCGTGGTTTTTCTTACCTGTAAAATAGGGTTGACTCCTGGTGTGACGCTGTAGAATCAAGCATTGGACTTCGAACCACAAGCTGGCAGGTCAAACCCACCAGTTGCTACTTGGAAATGCTATATGGGGTCGCTATGAGATGGCACAACAACAAACGTTACATAGCATCATATGCATGTTTAATAACAGGGCTTGAAATAAAATTATTATTAATAATACCTGTAATCATTATTGATACCTGTAATTATAAAATGTTTACATTTATCTTGACTGAGCTTAGAATGAAGGAGTACTTTAGGGGAAAGAGAATTAACTTGCCTAAAGCCTAGTGATTATAATGATTACAGTAGAGTTCACATTTTCTTCAAGAAGGGTTTTTTCCCAACCCCCTTCATGGCACATTTTCTTTATCATCTTTGTTGTTGTTGAGGGCCATCGATCGCTTCTGCCTCCTAGGGGGTTGATTTTGAGCCACCAACCAAGCAGCTCAAAGCTTGCGTACTGTGGTGCCACACCAGAACTCCTTTGGTCAGGTGGATGTTGTTAGGTGATGCAGACACATAGCCACCTTGTATAGGGTTTCCAAGGAGCAGCTGGTGAGCTTGAACCACTGATGTTGCAGTTCAAACGACTTTGCAGTCTGACACATTAGCCCACAGCACCACACCAGGACTCCATGGTCAGGTGGGTTGTTGTTATTATGTGCCGTGAACTCATAGCGACCCTGTACAGGGTTTCCGAGGCTGTAAATCTTTACGGGAGCAGAAAGCCTCATCTTTTTCCTGCAGAACAGCTGGTAGTTTCGAACTGCTGACCTTGCGGTTTGTAGCCTGATTCGTAACCATTAAGCTACCAGAGCTCCTTAGGTCAGGTGGATAGGAACCATTTATTAGAAGTGCCATATTTCTGAATGGATTGTGTGTGTTACAAAAGATTCAATGTGATGACCACTGAGACTAGTTCTCTAGAGAAACAACGTTATAAAATGCTAATTAGATTTTCATCTAGATAAAAGGTATGGTGCTGTAAGATAAGCACTGAACTACAAATTACAAGATCAGAGCTTCAAAACCACTACTCCTTGGAAACCCAACACAAGGTGGCTGTAAGTTGGAACTAACTCCATGATACCTAACAACAACAAGCCCATAATATGGTTAAATTATTCTATATTTGCAGTGAATACAGTTACCAATAGAAAACACTAAAATAGTAATGACTATTTATGAAGTGTGCTATACATTGTTGGGTGTGGTATAGAGGGGGTTCAGTTACAAGCTCAGCCTTCAAAAGATTTATAAGAGTAATATCCAACTGCCATCTAGTCAATTTTGACTCACCCCAACCTTAAATATTTAAGGAAGATATAAAAGCACTGAAATATCTTTTCTTTGCATGGTAGTTGGCAAAAAAAATAGCTTGATGAGCCTGGAGCATACAAGGGGGCATCAAAAAGTTCATGGAAAAAATCCATTATATTTAATTCTATTTTTTTCATGAATTTTTTGAGGCTTCCTCATACAGTGTTCTGATGTGGTACTACTGTAGGATAAGCAGTGCACTGCTAACCACAAGGTCAGTGGTTCAAATCCACCAACTGTTCCTTGGAAACCCTATACAGGGTTTCTATGAGTCAGAACTGTCTCAACAGTACTTAACAACAACAACATACAGTATAATAGACTTAAGTACTGATTTAGAATTTGAGAGTAGGGAGGTAGTGCCCCTAGTATCCCAGCTCTACCATTAGCTTTGTAAATATGTTGTTGGACAGGTAATGATGTAATTTCTCGTAAACCTAATTAGTCACCAAGTTAGTTTCAAGTCATGTAACCTTACATGTGTTCAAGTACAACTGCACTCTACAGGATTTTCAATGGTGGATTTTTCTTTAGAAAATAGATCTCCTGGCCTTCCAAGTCACTCTGGGTGTACTTGACTGCCAGCCTTTTGGTAGCATCGAGTGCGTAAACCACAGACAACACAAGTTGTCTGCACCTAACAACAGCAACACATGGTAGCAACACAAGTAGCCTTTTCTGTTCTCAGGTAGTCAGTTACTTCAGCTGTAAAGTGAAGCAGTTGACATAGCAGCGATCTGCATGGACTGTCTTAGATCTGAAATTCCATGAAGGCAAAACAAGGAACTGTAAGATTCTAACAAGAAACTTGGGCATGTCTGTAGCTCTGTTGGCCTCTGACACTGGTTTGTTCCTTTAACTGGATATGCATTTCAGGCTAGTGTTTTTTATTGTAGTTAGAATGCTGTTTTTTCCGTTTCAACTCATAGCTACCTTATGTATTGTGTTAGCGCCTAAGAGTAGGTTCAGACTCATAATAACTCTGTATAGGGTTTCTGAGGTCAGATGATGGTTTTGAAACGCTGTCCTTGAGGTTAGCAGTCCTGTGCTTATCCTATAGGGCCACACCAGGACCTTATGTATAGCAGACCTTATGTATGCTCAGTCCTGCACCATCCTCACAATCATTCCTACATTTGAGCCCATTGCTGCAGGGTCTTCTTCTTTTTCAGTGACCCTTTACCACTCATGATGTTCTCTGCCAGGGAATTCTCTCTCCTGATAACATCTCCACAGTCTGCAAGACAACAAACATCTTGCCATTATCTCTTCTGAGGTGCATCCTGACTGCTTTTACCTAGACAGAATATAGCAGTTAGTACGATAGCATTTTTAATTCACTTGAAACAAAAAGGGCAGAAAAGAAGAAAAAAAGGTTTTACTGAGGTCAGTGACAAGGTGGTAGCTGGAAATTGGGCTAAACAATTCCTGAAGTTATCACCAGATGGCATCCTTGACCCAGGACTGTTTGCTGGAAAAGCTTGGTAAGTGCCATGAGTCAGTTCCCACTCCATAGGATTTCTGAGGAGCAGCTGGTGGGTTTGAACCTCTGACCTCTTGGTTAGCAGTCCAGTGATGAGAAGGATTGAACAAGAGAAATGAAACAATTTTAGGATGAGTGGGATAAGGAGAAAATAAAAAGCAAAATGCTTTTCTAAAGTTTTTCACAAATTGGACATTTTTAATGTAGGCACTTGGGTACAGCTCTCTCTTCCCTGAAAAGCATGACAAACATAGAGTGCGATTTGGCCAAAAGTTTTCTCCATAGTTACTAAAGTAGAATAATTTCCCACATTTTCAAAAATGTCCAAGACTCTGAAATGTGCGATGAGTGGTAGGACATTTTTGAGTTTCATCTCTGTAAATGGGTATTTTTTACTGCCATCAGAGTAAATGACAGATGTGATACTTACAAGCTTTGTAGGAACAATGCTGAAGTGAGGCAGGATGTTGTAGGGAAAGAGCATCCTGGGGGGACCTTGGTGCCAGCCCTGACTTTAGCAAATAAACTATCTGTGTGGCCTTAAATAAGTCACTAAAGTTCTCTGCGTCTCCTCTTATTAAACCATGAAATGACACTAGATGATTATTTTCCAAACTTTACTCATTGTGCATAAGCATCTTAGGGGATGTTGCTGTTTGTTTATTTTTAGAAGGGTGAAGGTGAGGATTTCATGGTTTAAAAAATTAGAACACTCCTCTTCCTTTTTTTTAAAAATCTTCTAGAAGGGTCACAAAATGCATAGTAAAATTCCAAGAAATTCTTATGGCTGTTGTACCAAACTTTTGAACTACAAAGCCCTTCCTTCTAGGAGCATTTATTAGCCATTCATTAACACTAGAATTTGATGGTCTCCATTTGGAGTGCATTGTGTGGGATGAATTCTGAAACTTTTAGAAGCAACAGTTGCAATGTGGAAATAATGTTAGATTTATAGTCAAAATCCCTATGTTGTTTAGTGCTGGTTTAGGCCATCTTGGGCAAATTACTTGATGTTGGTGTCCCTTAGTTCAGATTTTCCATCTATAAAATGGAGATGTTACTGTTAAGTGCTGTCTGATCGAATCTGCTTCATAGCAGACTTGTACAGGGTTTCTGAGACGTACCTGGTGGGTTTGAACTCCCGACCTTGTGGTTCCCAGTCAAAGAATTGCTGTGAAGTTAAATGACCATGTGTATAAAAGTTAAACGTCACAATGAATCAGTATCCACTCAACTGCACTTAACAACAGCAACACGTGGTAGATATTTAACATGTTATTTATTTGCCTTTAAGGCA